CATCAAAATTGGGCAAAATTGGAATTCTTTTTGAAAATAAAAATTGCAAGGGGTTAGCCTTGCAGTTTCATCAAAATTGGGCAAGATTTGACTTTTGTGGGAAAATTACAATTGCAAGGAGTAAGCCTTGCATTTTCATCAAATTTGGGCGAAATTTGACTTTCTTTAAAAATTTAATTTGTAAGGGGTAAGCCTTTCATATTCATCAAAATTGGGCAAAATTTGACCTTTTGGGGGGGAATAAAATTGCAAGGGGTTAGCCTTGCATTTTCACCAAAATTGGGCAACGATGGACATGTGGAAAAATTATAATTGTAACGGGTAAGCCTTGCATTTTCATGAAAATTGGGCAAATTTTCAATTTTCTATGAATATTAAAATTGTAAGGGGTTAGCCTTGCATTTTCATCAAAATTTGGCAAAATTTGACTTATTTGGAAGGATTAAAATTTCAAGGGCTTAGCCTTGCATTTTCAAAATTGGGCAAAGATGGACTTTTGTGGAAAAATTAAAATTGCAAGGGGTTAGCTTTGCAGTTTCCTCAAAATTGTGGAAAATTTGACTTTTCTGTGTAAATTCAAATTGCAAGGGGTTAACCTCGCATTTTCATCAAAAGAGGGCAAAATGTCACTTTTCTGTGAGGATTAAAATTGCAAGGGGTTGGCCTTGCATTTTCAGTAATTTTTGGCAACATTTGACTGTTCTATGAAAATTGAACTTGTAAAGGGTTAGCCTTGCATTTTCATCAAAATTGGGCAAAGTTTGACTTACTTGTGAGGATTACAATTGCAAGGGGTTAGCCTTGCAGTTTCATCAAAATTGGGCAAGATTTGACTTTTGTGGGAAAATTAAAATTGCAAGGGGTAAGCCTTGCATTTTCATCAATTTTGGGCAAAATTTGATTTTTCTGTGAATATTAAAAGTGTAAGGGGCTAGCCTTGCATTTTCATCAAAATAGGGCAAAATATCACTTTTCTGTGAGCATTAAATTGGAAGGGTTGAGCCTTGCATTTTTCTCAAAATTGGGTCAAAATTGACTATTCTGTGAATTTAAAACTTGCAAGGTGTTAGCTTCGCATTTCATCAAAATCAGGCACAATTCGACTTTTCTTTGAAATTTAATTTAAAATAGTAAGGGGTTAGCCTTGTATTTTCATCAAAAATCGGGCACAATTTGACTTTTCTGTGAAGATAAAAGTTTCAAGGGGTTAACCTTGCATTTTCACCGAAATTGGGAAAAATTTGACTTTTCTGTGAAAATAAAATTGTAAGGTAATAACTTTGCATTAGTATAAAAATTGGGCAAAATTCGACTTTTCTGTGAAGATTAACATTGGAAGGGGTAAACCTTGCATTCCCATCTAAATTAAGCATCATTTGAATTTTCTATGAATATTAAAATTGCAAGGGGTTAGCATTGCATTTTCATCAAAACTGGGCAAAATTTTATGGTTTTTTTGGACGTTTAAAATTGTAAGGGGAAAACCTTGTATTTTCATCAAACTTTGACACAATTAAACTTTTCTTTGAAGTTTAAAATTGTAAGGGCCTAACCTAGCATTTGCATCAAAATTTGGCACAATTTGACGTTGGTGGGAAGTTTACAGTTGTAAGGGGTTAAGCTTGCATTTTCATCTTAATCAAGCAAAATATGATATTTCTTGGAAGATTTTAATTGTAATGGGTTTAATTGCATTTCTATCATAATTGGGCAAAATTTGACTTTTCTGGGAAGTTTAGAATAGTAAGGGATAAACCTTGCTATTTTTATTTTTAAAAAAAGGTAGCAATAAATACCGCCGTCATGCGTTGATAAAAAAAAACAAAGTAAATCGAGCACACAACCATTTGGACGCAAAACAAAGTGACCCTCGCCGACTCGCTCAAATTTCATTGTAAAGCCTATTTACAAATATATTTTTGCATCAGGGTGCACAAAATTATACGCCACACTTTATTTATGTAAAGTAAAGCACACCAATATAAGAAATACTGAAGAACATATTCAATCTCTTTGTTAATGAACAATATCAAAGCACTTTCACGCAACATAGTGTGGGAGCAATACCATGGCAACCGTTTATCGCCTTCCATGGCAACAACAGGCTTCCTTTGTTTGCCTTTGAAACGTTAACACTGTCCTCATCTTAGATTGATAGAGGGCGGGCTGCAAACATTTTCATTCAAGGACTTTTGGTCCAACCCACCTCAATCCTTGACCTTCTCAAGTGTGGTTCAATCATAGAGCTATCCTATGGGTTCAATAGGCCTGAGACCTAATGACGTCACGCGTTGTTTACATGTACACTTTCCTGTGTGGCAGACGGTCCATACTTCGTCTGGTAAGATTACCGCCCGCACCAGCCAACGGCAAAATACAATGTAAATGAAGCCCGGAAAGGGACAGGGTGGAATTTTTTTTTTGAATTTGCTAATTCGTTCCCATGAATTGCTATTTCATTCGCACTAATTACTAATTCGTTCCCACGAATTTGAATTGCTAATCCGTTCCTACGAATGACTAATTCGTTCGCACGAATTGTTAATTGGTTCGCACGAGTTGCTAATTCGTTCGCACGAGTTACTAATTCGTTCGCACGAGTTACTAATTCGTTCGCACGAGTTACTAATTCGTTCGCACGAATTACCAACTCGTTTCCACGAATTACTAACGCGTTCCCGGATCCACGAGTTAGCAAATCGTTCCCACGAATTAGAAAAATCGTGGGAACGAAATAGCAATTCGTGCGAAAGATTGAGCAATTCGTGGGAACGACTTAGCAATTCGTGGGAACGAAATGGCAATGCGTAGGAACGAAATGGCAATTCGTCCGAACGAAATGGCAATTCGCCCGAACGAAATAGCAATTCGTGCGAACGAATTAGTAATTCGTGGAACGAGTTAGCAATTCGTGGGAACGAATTAGCAAATTACAAACAAACTTTTCCACCCTGTCCCTTCCCGGGCTTCATAAATGTACATGTACCACGCAGGGCGCAATAAAAAACCGTCACCGACACCACGAAGTATAGTAACACCTTCTTAAAATACAATTATGCATGTACGTGTACTTGTCGAGGAATTAAGAGGCAGCGTGTTCTTGATAAACACTTTTTGTGTGTGTACCGTTTTGTTAATAATAATTGTATGAAATCATTAGTACACACTTGCGATTTGATCGCCATCTTACTAACATCAGTCGCCTCAATAACACTTCTTTTTTTTTACAAATCTAGCATATAACTACGATATCAAAAATTATCATAATGTGTTAAATCTTTACGGCAAAACTTTCGAAGAAGTATACATAATACGGTAAAACATTTACCTAATTCACTTTGCGAAAAAGGGTTAATTAAAAATATATATACTTTTCGTTTACAAACAAAGAAAAAGAAAACATTCCAACTGGGAAGAGTTCCTTTAAAATTAACGGGAAAAAAACATTCAAGTTGGGAAAAATTGTTGGTGTACTCCATGTTGACCAGACAGCACACAACTCAAACAGTGGCGTATCAAGCTTTTGATGTCGGGGGGGGGGGGGGGGGGGAGACCGCACTCGCACATCCGCGCTGAATGTTAGCATGTTTTTTTCAAGTCCGGACACTTGGCCTCCGTAAAATCAAAATGTTGGGTGTTGGGGAGGGGGGGGGGGGGGGCTGATACCCACCCATCGTCCAAATGGGGTCGCTCTTCAAAACTGAGCATTATTATGCATACTGGAAAATATATGCAGATTTTCACTGCGCATTGTAATGGTTTTGGAGCTTGGTTTTCTTTATTTGTTTGCATGTCAGAACTCTCTAACCATTAATGGAAATAGTTACTGAAAAAAATCTTTCACACAAATCCGCCGGCAGCCCCCCTCCCCCCCCCCCTTGATAAGCCACTGAATTCAGAGATAGCTGCATTGAAAACGATCTATATCGTGGTTCTCAACAAAATACTGGTTAGGTAGTTTTAAAAAGTCTATGCAAAAACAATGTGCGGCTGATCCAAATATTATTGCTTATCAATTGACTTTATCAGCAAGAACCATCCACACAGAAACAAAAAAAACAACAGTAACATGCTAGTACTTAAGCACACACAGGCAAATAAAAAGAAATACAATGCAAGGACTCCAAGTCAGACAAAACAGACGAATCCAGGCACGTGATCACTGCTCACTCACGAGGCCCCCTTCAATGGAGAAACCATTGTGCAAGCTATTGTACAAAGCCAACTGCCTCGTGTGAAGGGTAACCTAGACAATAACTAGCACAATGTTTTCGCCATTCGAAATAGAATTGATAGCGTGCTCGAATTGGTGTTTAGGACGGAATACAATGTATACAAAACTGGGCACCACAATGAATCAATGCCTCGTATAGTAACTTTTTTGAAATATGGCGGAATTATTTTTTTATAAGAGGACGCTAATTGGAGCATGGGTAAATGTCGATTTTAAAGGTAGCTTTCGAATTTCTTGTGTAGAGCTATTTCTAGGTTTTAGCCCGTTTCATCATTTACATGGCTGAGAAAGGTTGACTGTAGACGTGGCCTTAGCTACGGGATCTCGTTTAAAAACGGACCAACTACCCACTCCAACTAGAGCCCTCATGTTGTGTCCAACATAACTTTAAAATGGCTATTTCCGTGTGCATGGACCGTACACAAGCGTACCTTTTGGAAACAGGCAGGGTTTCACAAGTGTTGTATTAGAGTTCATTTTAATGAGTACGAGTGCTAGTACGAATACTTTGCCATAAGTACGAGTAGGAGAACGAGTACAAGTATGAGTACAAGTACAAGTACCAGAAGGCTACGAGTGCGAGTACGAGACATTTTCCCCATGAGTACGAGTACGTCGAGAACGAGTACTTTGTCATGAGTACAAGTACGAGTACTAGAACGAGTACGAGTACGAGTACGAATACAAGTACGAGTACCAGAAGGCTACGAGTGCGAGTACGAGACATTTTCCCCATGAGTACGAGTACAAGAACAAGTAAGTTTGTCATGAGTACGAGAACGAGTACGAGTATGAGTACGAGTACGAGTACCAGTAGGCTACGAGTGCGAGTGCGAGACATTTTCCCCATGAGTACGAGTACGAGTACGAGTACTTTGTAATGAGTACGAGTACAAGTACTAGAACGAGTACGAGTACGAGTACCAGTAGGCTACGAGTGCGAGTGCGAGACATTTTCCCCATGAGTACGAGTACGAGTACTTTGTAATGAGTACGAGTACGAGTACTAGAACGAGTACGAGTACGAGTACCAGTAGGCTACGAGTGCGAGTGCGAGACATTTTCCCCATGAGTACGAGTACGAGTACGAGTACTTTGTAATGAGTACGAGTACGAGTACTAGAACGAGTACAAGTACGAGTACCAGTAGGCTACGAGTGCGAGTACGAGACATTTTCCCCATGAGTACGAGTACAAGAACGAGTACCCCAAAAAAGTACTTGAGTACGATTACTTTCCACAAGTGCGAGTACTCTCCACGAATAGGAGCAAATTTTAAATGTGTCATGTATTTTCAATGGCTTTTCGCAGTCAACCTAGGCAGTAAACAATGAACAAATGCAGAAGCCTCCTAAACATTAAAAAACTGGTTCTTTTTTCTGCATTTAGCTCGAGAACATATCTGTAATTTTTGCAGGAGAACATGAGTGTAAGTACGGGTACTTTGTCCAAAGTACGAGTACGAGTACAGGGGTATATTTTCTTCTTGTGGGTAAGAGTAGGAGTACATTTTCATGAGTGCGAGTTCGAGTACGGAAAAAATGTACTCGAGTACGGGTACGGGTACGACAACACTGCGGTTTTGTTGCAGCGAGAAAAAATATAAAATGTGCAATAGGTATTGCACTTTCTTTCTAGAAGATAATTTTAAAACAATTCAAATTAAAAAGAATTCCACAAAATTTAATATCGTGCGCGCACATGGGCGATACTGCAAAAACAAAAAGAGCTTTCACAACGTTGGTCATTGTGATAAAGTCGCTGCTCGATATATAAGAATGTTCAATTTCTGTCAATTTAACATTGTCGTCAAAGAAAAGAAGAAAACCAAATCACATGAGGTTGAACCTCCGTTAAAAAAAAAAAAAAATCGTTTTAAAAATTGAAAAGCAAAACACAAAGTACCAGCTGTTTATGGTTAATCGCCAAACCATGCTTGCCGATTGTTTTGTTCCGCCAAGCAAGGCTGTGAAACATAGCCAGGTCACGGCGCAGGCATCCAAAGGTCACGACGCAGCTGTCAGAATCTGAAGAGCCGATCTTACAGAACAAGATGGCCTCTTCACAACATCGAATCGGAGACTGATTCAGTTTCAACGTCATCCAACAGATCGGCCCTATGTGGTAAATAGAGATTAAAACAACATGATGTATTACATGATATAAATCGGTGTGATTTAAAAAAATATATATATATAATAGCAAATATTGTTTTAAGATTTTTTCGCTTTGCATGATGCAGTATCAGTATTGTTTCGGTTCGCGGTAACACCATGTGGTAGTAACTACTGTCGCTCAGCAGATATTTAGTCTCCTGACTCCTGACGATGACTAGAGCAAGCTAGTCGAATGGTTCAGACCAAAGACAACTTCTTTTAGAACTTGAAACAGGACTTTTCTTATAAGAACTAAAAACTACTTAACGAAAGTTGACAATAAGCAAGACAAGTTCTGATCAGAACTAACTACTGAGCGACAGCAGATTTTACCACATGGTGTTACCGCAAACCGAAACGATAAAAATAGATATTGTTTTGAAACTTGTGGTTGCCATGAATGTTTATTCTTTTGTTAAAGAGATAAGCAGAGAAATTTCTTTTGGGGAAAAGGGAAACCCTGTAAAACGTGGGATATAGTCTGATTATAGGCCTAGAGTATATCCTCAAGATAGAAATTTGCATAGTTAGAAAAAATACAATTTTCTGTGCAAAATGCTAAGAACTTCCAACTTCAACAGGTAAGGAGTTTTACTGGTAACCAGACTTTGCGGTGAGTCCATGTGATTCTTAACTCGTTAATAGAAGAAACTAGACGGTGGTACAATACTGGTACCAAACAAAACACATACAACAGACGCCGGTATGTTTGATAAAAGTAACAGGTATGCTTGATAACACTGTGTTTTGTGACTTCTCCCTTTGGAAGTTACGTTTAAACATCGTGTAAACTTTGACTTTAAGCAGCACTGCATAGGAATCAATAGGCCTTGTTCCTCAGCGAATGAGGAATTAGCTCAAAATCAAAGCATTTTGGACGATTATATCTTGATTTTCGACTCACCGAGTTCGTCCTCGGTTTCTTCTATCGCGAGAGGGCGCCTCAGTGGGCTCAGGGCGTTGCCGCCGACGGCGCCTGCTGTTGCTGCCCGTTGGGGGCGCCTCTTTCTCCTTCTCCTCTCGGCGCTTGGCCTTCCGAAGCTTTTTATCCCATTTCTGGCATGTGTGAAAAAGAAAAGAAAAGTTCAATTACAAAAGAAATTACTTATCGGCCTATACGGAGTGTAGACAAGACTGCTTGTTACATGATCAGAGGGTCATATGTGTTCAAATCCAACTACTGGCCCAACTAATGTTCGCTCGTACCCCCCTCCCCCCCCCCCCCCCCCCCCGCCCTGCAAAAAAAGACGCTGGGAACCGCTGATGAATTTCATCTCTTATTGGATAGATTGTGCGTGACCTGTGACCTGTAAGTCATCACGGCCACGACCCCGTACAGTTTTAAACGGCCGTTAAGACCGAGTCAATACTCTTTTATTCCCATTCATACACGATTTTTTTTTCGTTCAAAAGCGTAATAATGAAGGAAAACCTGTAAAACGTATCTGTGTTATAAATGTTCAATTCCCGTCACTTGATCAGGCTCCGTTTCGAATTAACGAAGAGTCAAATTGTATATTATGCGACGCTCGAAAATGTCCATGTGTTCCACAATGAAAAAGAAATCACATCCGATATGGATTGTGTGCATTTCTGTAAGAAAGTTTTCGGATAGCATGTGCGCGCATTAGCTAACCGTGTCTTAAACAGCTACAGCTGTATGTCTTTTTTATAGGTCATGATAAGTTACCCAGAAATGTCATTCCCACTTCCTTCACAAGATTCTGTGAAGCTCATCAGCCCTTCCCAGCGCCCGGTTTGCGGGGCGGGGGTACGAGCAAACAGTTAATTGTGCTATGTCCTCAAGCCACTTCATTTTCACCAGCCTCTCTCCACCAGACTGGGAGTTTAAAATAGTTTCGTATACATTTCTATATACTCTATTATGGTTATTTTGAACAATGGGAGTAGTTTGGACTGGTTCCCTCCCCACATGCGAATGGAGGAATCGGGAACCAGTGCGTAGCTTCACTTTTTTTTGTACAACTCGGATTGGCCAACGAGTTATCCTGTTAAAGATATTTTTTTTGTATATGGAGTTCAGTGCTTCAGCTTGCTAGGGCGCCCCACCTTGACGAGTCTGGGCCAGTTGTCCTCCTCCCATTCCTGTGCCACGCATTCCTCCGTCAGCCGCAGGCGGCCGTTCTCCAGGTCTTGGTAACACATGATGACGTAGTCGACTCCCGCGGACACTTTTGGGCAGACGCACGGGCCCTCCGTTACCAGGTGTACCTAGCAAAAATAAAAGATGACGAACTGAATTTTACTGATAGCAACAGAGGGCGCTATTGTGAAGGTCCATTACAATGTATTAGGCCGTGTCCGAAACGGGTTTCCAGAGCTACGGCTACGACTATTGTCAGCGCGTCCCCGAGCATTTTCGATGGGCGCAGACCTAGACCTAGCTCTAGACAGCTAATTTGGATGCAGCCTCACAGTTTATAAAAACCTTTTCCCAATTCCTCTAAACCCAAATGCATTGTGAAGTGGCCTCAGCGAAGCAGGCCCAGCTAAATGCTGTCATCAGGACAAATGTTTGTGGAGAGTTCCAGATCAAATAGTATAATAGACCTAATTATCCACCTGTAACCAAAATCAAATCAAAAGCATATGATTCCATTCTCTTTCCAGAACCGCCAAACACAGCGCGCATGTGCAGCCCGATTTTTACAGCGCCCCCAAGAGACCATTTTAAACGCAAGAGGCGAAATGCCAAAACGTGACATCAATCATCATTGTCATCTAGGCTGGTTCCTTATTCCGTAAAAATAAATGTACAAAACTTTGTGCCCGCAGTCTACGTAGAGAACACCGGGTACCATCGAATCTAATGCATCCTTACCTCACCAATAGGGATGTTGATATCGGTGAACTTGAGCACGTCCCGTACGATGATTGTGGTATACATCAGGTTCTCGCCCACGGTAACAAATGACGTCACGGTGGCACGAACAACTGAAATGAATAACAAGGAACGCATCTTAGTGGATATAACAAGTAAACAACCTCGTCATCATGGCGTCGAGGAGTACGCTTCCACAAGCCGCTTTTTCAACTATTGTCCAGCTTGCAAGAGATGCTTTACAGGGCGAGTCAAAAACCCAAATGTCGGGACCATTATTTTAGTGAAGTTCTGCATGTAACACTTTAAAAGTCTTGGATATGAAAGCCCAATTCATGAGCTTTCATTTAGTACAAGAATCATTCAAATCAACCATGTAATTTTCAAGTTACGGAATTTTAATTTTCTCACACATCCCTTTGTGATTTTTTTTCGTTTTGCTGAAAGAACACTTTGCCCACGGCAAAAGTTTTTTTTCCACGGCAAAAGCTTTTTGACGTACCATACTCGTAGGCTTTCTCCATGAAGGCGCCCTGGTTTATCCTGATACTATCACATCGCTTACAGCTTCCTAGACAAGCCAAAGAAAAACAAATCTGTTAATAAAAACACGGACTTAGTTGTTGACTATTGACACTTCTTGCCCACCTTACCTCTCCAGAAATTTCAGAACGTGAGACGGCGCTACATGATACATTTTTGGATAACAATAATGGTTAAGTTTTGGGTACAACTTTGAATATTTTTTTTTATAAAGATTCAATTACAATTTCGAATTATTGCCAGTTACTTTCCACCTAACCACAGTGTATCAGTACAGGACTAAAAGTTACATATAAAAACGCCACAAAAGAGCGCCCTCTCAGAAAAAGGCGCCCTCAGTAGAAAGAGCGCCCTCCATACGTAGTGAGAGCGCTCTAGAGCGCCCTCTGTAGAAAGATCGCCCTCTATAGACGGAGATAACACTCGACTGGCCGCCTCACCTTTCCTCTTTGGCTTGGGCGGTTGAATGATGGCAGGCTCAGTGATGACGTCACTTCCGTTGTCTTCGTCTTCGTCTGGAAGTTAAAAAAAATAATTCAATTTTTAATGATAATATTAATAATATAACTTTGACTTGAGGGAGTTGAAAGAAACAAGCAATGCTTAACAAGAAACATCAGCAACAGCAAACCAATGCATGATTGGGGATCTAACACAAGTTAAAGGGAACATATAATAGGATTTTATAACTTAAATACATTTAAAACAGCTTTTTTGCCATGTAACTGTGTCTTTCCACCTCCTTTGTAGCAGTAAAAGGGAGAAATTTCAAAATTTTACTTTTTATGCTAATGAAAATTTCCATATTCACGAGCCAAAGCGTGATGTCATTCAAGGCAGAACAGTAGTGTCCTCATAGCTTTGTGCACAACTTAATATCAAATTTGCCTTCATTTTCTTGGAGTTTAGTTCCACTTTTTACTTGATTATCATTTTGAACAGTTTGTTTGGGCAATAGTAGTGGTCAATATTTCTTCAAAACTTCTTTTGCGGGTAATTTTGAAGGACTAATTTTTGTACTGTTCATAAAATTACGCACTTTTGACAAGGAGTACCTTGTGTGACAAAAGCAAAATAGCGCCTATGATGAAAGGATTTGCTAACAATTGAACAACTACCACTTTCTTGTCACTTCCAATGGAAACAAGTATTAAGATCTTGTATGTATTGCTGCAACACATAGTAATGTGCATGAAAACAAGATGAACTGAATGTCCACGGCATGTTTCCTTTAATGTTACGTTATTGGTGTTACACTGGGTGGTTACCGACACATTCAAGGAAATAACAAGAACATTCGGGCTGTGCTTTTCGTTCAAGGTGCCTATCCAGAAGTTACGGAATGTGTGCGTTGGCTGAGATCCAAACTGCAGTTGCACTTTGGGAGGTCCTCATATAGTAAAGGTTTCACTTGGTGTAGACAAAACAATAACCTGTTTTAGTTTAGACTTGGTGCCAAGTCGGTTATTTGTTTGCGTACGGTAACCGGTTACTGGCTCCACGCACGCAAAATATCGCCGCAATGCGCGAAGTCTGGTTCCCAGACCGAACGATGCTGACTACTGATATGTCGCAACCCGACCGATTACCTATAGTCTTACACCAGCCGCGCCGATGGAGTTCGACTGAACGGAGAAAATACAACTTGTCATGAAGTCTAGTTTTACTTTTAGTTGTTCTTCCTCTAAATTATCGAAAGGGTGAAACCCGGGGGTGGGGCCTCGAGGGGGCGGGGCCCCGAAGGGGAGGTCACATGCCTCACATGGAATGGGGAGGTGGACCGTTAAAATATAAATCAGTGGGGGGGGGGGGTCCTAGATCCCTTGTCGGTCTGTACAAAATATATCTGGCTACGCTTGATTAATAATTGCCCGATGAAAATTAGAAGTCCTTCATAGGTCAATCACAAGTTGAAGAAAGGTCAAAGAAAAAAAGTAAAATGAGGATCAACTATTTCAAAACATGCCTTTATCACAGCTCGTTGTTTCAAATAACCATGCAGAACCTTCGCATCACAGTGCGGAATTTCGTCAATAACCGTGAGCACTCTATATTTCTAAAAGTCAATCAATTTACTGATTGTTGGAAATCCACTAACATTTCTTGCTTTCTTCTCAACGACAGCAAGCCAGACGGAATCATTTCCATGTGTTTTGTATCAGTCCGATAGTCCAAGCAAGCTCCTTGACAATGATTTGGTAGTTTACTTTTGGGATAAATGCACATTTAAGTGTGAACTTGTGACAGTCTTTGGAGGCAGCCACACAGACAGGCCATGTCCTCCGACCTTCTTAAAGTGTCACAGAGCAAGATAGATGAGGCACTTGGATAGCAGTCCGCGGTTTCTGAGAATGCACAACCCCCCCCCCCCCCCCCCCGTCGATTGTGGGGAGGGGAGGGGAGGAATCACGGCGCGTCAGACTGTCTGATTACTAACCTTCGTGTCACGAGCTGTTAACCCAATGCAACGGGTTAACGGAGCTGAGTTGATGGCAATCTTTCTACACATGCGCATCGCCTTGGAAACAGGCGGGAAGTTTCACAATCACAACTCTTTTTTTTTAGGAGGGTTCTTCCAATGGTTATAACTAATGACAGTATGGGGTTCTTCCAATGGTTATAACTAATGACAGTATGGCTGCGGGCCAGGTCGATTCTGTGGTTCTTGGCAACTATAGATCAGAATATGGACGTGTAGGTGCGCCGGCAAAAACTCAACCTTGGCCCAGGACTCCATTTGAATGTTTTATTCTCCTATTTTGCAGCCAGTTTCGTGACAAACGCGGTTTAAGTTGCTGCGGCGGGGGAGGTCTATCAACAACAGATGAGCACAATCCAGTCTTGGGAATATTGGCAGCGCTACCCAGGAAATTCAGAGTATACCTCACAGGCATGAATTGGCTTGAATACAGCGCGAGTAAGGTATGCTCAGGGTAGCGCTGCCAATATTGCCAAGATTGTTTCATCTCATGTTGATAGCGACCTCGCATGTCGCGGACCGGTTGTGTAAGGGGAATAAACTCCAAATCCAATTTTGGACAAAGACCAGCAGAAAATAAGATGCAGGTCAAAATACGCGTACACATTCTGACGGAGTAAGGCAAGAGTAAGTATTCTAAAAGAAATACATTGCATTCTTGCTTAATTTCAGAAGCAGAAACATTTTCATTATTAGGTTTTGCCCTTCACCGCCGTATATATAAATACTGTATGTACTAATTACTGAGTGTGTTACCTCCCTAGTGAAAGTTGGGGAAAAATCACTCGGGTGGAACTCATGGAACCCACGACCTCCTGCTTATTTCTAGTAAAGACGTCTACCACTCGACCACTCGAGTTAAACCAAGTTTGTAAAAGGCACTCGCTTTAGGCATAATTATGATCATTGCCAAGAACACTGCCAAGACAAAACACATCTTGCGTAAAAGATTTGGTATGGGTCGATATCCCAAACTATACTTCAAGTGGAATGAAGTCATTTTTTTGAGACGCTGCCATTTTTGGTAGAAACCCAAATAATGTTCTTAAAAATCTGGCCCATCGATCAAGTTTGAGAATTTATACAGTATTAGTTTTAAATCATTCGGTATGCGGAAATTGAGGTTCGGGGTCTTTTTTTGCACTGAAATATCCTCTTTTTGAGGAGGGGTTATACTCAGGGCTTACTCTAAGGGTTTCAATGCACGTTACAAAGCTCGGTTTTTGGGGGCGTGAGAAAATCCTGTGCCAAGCAGAGAAATTGTTCTCAATGTTGCGGAAGAAAAAAAATGCGACTCCAAGGAGCAAATATAGTCTGCGGTGTCGTGAAAGTAAGTAGTTAATGACACCGCAACAGGCGACCTTATTGCCTTGCGGTATGACATTGTCGACTGCCTTTTTTTCCCCCTTCAAAATGTGTGTAGAACCATACCACACTTCCTTTCCCCGGGGAAAAAAAAGCTACCGAGACTTGCGGTTTCTCTCTGTACTTGATCATTTTTGTAGGCTTTAAAAACAAATTTGGTCGCCTGAAAGCATGATTTTTGGAACATGACTCATAGAACAGATTTCGTAAACAGTGATTTTTTTTTACTTTAAACCACACATGTAGACATATTAGTGCAGACAACCAGTCTAGCTCCAGAATTCCAGTGGAGGTCCATGCCTTCCCGTCACTGCACGATCCGACGGTCACGTGACTCAAAAACTATTCAGTATTTTACCACATTGAATCCAACCTTGCGATATGCAGCCAGTTCCCTGTTCTCCGGATAAAATACCAGCGCGTATATTTTTGGCTTCTGCGGATGTTTACAATGCCACCTGGGGAGAGTTTTGAGGGGTGTCCATTTGACTTGAGGGTGATGGATTGAACCACTTCATCGTGATAATACCTACAGGGCCCCCTCATTACTAAAGGTCCCGGAGGGCGGGTACAATTTGTCACAAATTGGGGCCGAAACCTGATTAGTGTGCCGGTCCTGCTAAAAAGCTAAACTCTGACGGTCGCGATTGCATGTGGCACTACGCTTACCCGGCACTATACTAACCCAATTTAAAGATTGAAATCGTTATCAATGAATTAAAGGGAACGTACAGCATCTTGCTTTTGCTGCAATTTCCAGAAATAAATGGATTTGGAGGATTAATATGTATATAGCAAATATTGTTAAACTGACTTGTTTCACGTTTTGGGCTTGTAGACGCTGGACAAACCAAGAAAACCGATCATGTTCTTGTGACCCAACTTACGATGAAACGGAGAAATGTAAAGACTTTTGGGAATTGTAAGGTCAAAGAATCACTCTAGCAGGCTTGTACCCCTTCACAGCTGTGTAATCAATTGGAAAGAAAATGCGGAATAACTAAATATGAAAAATTAGGAGCAGTTTTGGAAAAAAACCCAGTTTTTTTCCAACGCTGGTCGGCCGACCAGCGTTGGAAAAATACATTTTTTCTTGAAAATGTCAGCACACCAGAAGCCACAGTTTTACAGGATGCTTTAGACGGTCATTCCTATAACAATCCAGTAAGGTATTTCGTGATAATTTGATCATTTCGTTTTTTGATGTTTGCAGATGTTGTATCTTCCTTTTAAACCTTACTACATCCGATATTTGCATCAATAATTATGGGTACTATCCTAGAATTGAACTGTTACATCGCCCTCATTCATTGAAAATGCCTGGCATTTTCTCTAGGCATCAAATTATTTTTGTTCAAGTGTTCCATGTCGTCAAGTAGTCACTTTGAGTACTGCTCAGATTTTATTTTCAAAAGTGAACTCAATTCAAATGGACTGATATTGTGGGAAAATAGTTCTCAAATGAGGAACAGGTTCACTGAACTTGTGAGGGGTTGGCCGCAGAGCTATCAGAAAAAAATATAGAATTCCTGAACTAGAATGCCTTTCCTAATATGCACGCCTGTTTACAACCTGTTCAGTAAAATCTTGTTTGTTTTTGATTTACAAAAATGTAGGTCAACCATTTCTTCCGCCCGTGTTTGCGCTGGATTTTCTGAGTGCTGTTTTCTGCGAAGGTATGCCTTCATTCTTCTATATTAATATGAATTATGGTTTTGTTTATCTTAATTATTTTGTTTGTCTATTTTTTTCGTTATTGGATTATTTCCAGGACACAGGTGCAAAACCAAGGTATGTGACTTGGTGGGGGAAAAAAGAGGAGACATTCCCTATTGGTGCTCAAAACAGGTGAGGAGATGTGTATCGTCACTCAGACACCGTGCCGGTTCTTGATCCTACCACACCCCCATCAACGGACCGATCCATAATAGGCTCCACCCACTGCGCACCTGGGCAGCAACACAATGCACCTCTCCAATGCCATATTCCAGCTGCGCGCGTCATACGCGCGTAAACGCATGCCCGACTTTTGTTACGGGGGGAACTTTTATGTCAACCTCAGCCGTGTGGTTGCGAAGGCCGATTTCTAAAGGTTACGTAATGCTTTATTTTAAATGAAACAACATGCACACAGACATGTTCATGTTTGCGGGCGAAATCTTTGAAAATTGATTTCGCCCAACGCAACTTTCAGGGTTTGTTTCCCTTATAATGATCCAACTATGAGCAAAAAATCGTTTTGATACGTTCAGTACTTTTCGTTGAAATTGCAAACAGTAGGCCAAGATAGAGAAATACATAGATTTGGGAACGTTTTCGAACGATTTCTTCCCTACTTTAACCCTAAAAGGGCCGGGTTATTTTTTACCATCTCTCAGCCGGGGGTGGGGGGGGGGGGGGGGGGTGGGCGGAGATCTCGGCCATCGAGTGACGAACAATTTTAAAACTTGGTACATGCATAGAGCAATATACCCAAAAAATGTCATGACTATAGATCAAAGGGTTTTGGAGTGATGGCTAATTAATTATTCCTATGTACGAATAGTAATTCTGCTCTGTGTACACGACGTATATGGGCTATCGCAGACAAAATCGAAGGGGGGGGGGGGGAGCGGGTTCCGCGCGTCCGGGTAGACACGCGCGCCTTGACTAAAGGCTAGGGTCGCTGTGATGAAAGTCAAGGACATCTCCATTAAAGCTACTTGACCTTGTGATTAAAACCTGAAAGTCAATGGACGTAGCATTCGAACCTACGGGTCATAGAAAAAAAACGATAGCAGTAAGCGAATGAGGAAATATTCTCAGAGCTTGGATTTATATACTTAAAAGTGGGATTGATTCATTTTTTGGCAGGAAACTTTAATCTGGAAAAGGTCGCGAAAAAGTCTCAGGCGGGTTTTGACTCTCAGTTATTTTGTACCTGAACTTAAATATTGATGTCAATTGTCAAATACTTTCATCAAATGACGAGATTGTAGAATAGTGGTTGGACCCATTTTTTCTCGGAAAATTAAAAAAAATAATTGGACAAAGAGCGTTTTGAAGAGAAGCTTCAAAGATAAGGAAAATATTTCATGAAAAAGAGAAGATCGTTCCAGGACTTGGCAAGATTCAATTTTTCTCTGTGTGTATTCATTTGGACAAAGGTGTTTGGCCCGCCACACCATTTTGGTTATTTCAATAGCCCTTTTCACACTAGACAAATCTCGGGGTTGACGCAGGGTCGAAAACATGCATCGTTTCACACTTGAAGAATTTCAACCCTGCGTCGACCCTGCGTCAACCCCGAGAATTGATTTCAACCCGGGTTGAACTCAACACTGCTCCAGACAAGGGTTGAGATTTTCAACCCGGGTATTGAAATTCGTGCCAGGGTTCAAAACAGTAGTAACGGAGCATGATACGCTTGATTTGCATGAAACAAGTGTGAAACGATGCAGGGTTGAATGCGGGGTTGTAAAATCAAAAACTCAACCCGGGGCGGCACTGGGTTCGCCCCGGGGTGAGTTCAACCCGGGTTGAGAGGCTCTAGTGTGAAAAGGGCTTATGCGCGTTAGGGTCCCCGCCTGGCCTGGAGGCCAACATCCTCATTATGGTGATTTGTGGCTCATCAGACGTCCAATCCTTAAGGATTAGGCCTCCCCTCAGTGCTTGCCAAAAAAAAAAGACAGTGATTGATTTGAATAAAGCGAGACAGGACAGCAGTCTGTGGCAGGCCCTGTGATTTAGGGCGAGGAGCGGGACCCGATTTTGCAAGGCCGACCTGTCCAATCGGTTACACTTCGCTTGGGTAGGTACGGTAGGGGTCTGTGCTTTACTGGAAAGGGTCATTTCTCATCCTTTTTTCAGAAGATTTGAATTTGATGGGATCCCAAGGTTGCACAGGAACATCATTATTGTGCGCGGCTAGCCCCCCCCCCCCGCCCACTCGCCCCCCCCCCCCAACAAAAACAAAACAAAAAGGGGGGGGGGTTTGAAATCAAACTATAGCTCCATGGTCTAATTAAGGACTGTTACCTAACAAAACAATGCAAAAGATACCTTTATACCTCTCCTACAAAGGAATATTTTAAAAAAGGTCAATATGGCTTGTGTATTTGCTCTTTGCACGCTCCGCCATAAGCATCTCTGCATGCTCGATCGGGCAACTTTACAAAATAAAAATAGCTGGTTCATTGTGATTCCCGTGTATACACGTACACGGGAATCGCCCAACCCCGGCCCGACACGGGAATCACTCAACCGGCTATATTTATTTTGTAAAGTGGCCAGATCGAGGCTCTGCATATGGCGGAAGCGTGCAAAGAGCGAAGTTTGCTTTAAAAAAAAGATGGGATTCTCATGCTGCAAAACTTGTCGAAAATTAACAAGACTCCCCCGGCCCTCAAGATTTCAATGAGCTAGATCATAAGGGTTGTAATTTATACTAAATAAGAAAGCTGTCTCCCATTTTATATTGACCAATACATGTATTTCATATTACAAACTCAGAACTTGAGTTTTGTGACCAAAGTTTCAGACTTTCACAGCCCAGACAGAGTGTATGTTCAAAACTGCGTGTACATAATTCAATATCGCAATATTCTCGTTGTTCGCCAGATTTCCATGGCGCAGATACCCGGAAAATCTAAGCAAAATCTAAGCTAAAGCAAAATGATCCAAAACTAGTGTGGCACTTGTATTTTTTTTAAGTGGCAGTCTAATGACGAACCGATGACTTTTGTTCTGTGCTCAACTGAAATAAAATGCTTTGCAGCTACACGAGAATGTGGCCACGAGAAGTTGGGGTACTCGACATTCGGTCAACCGACTAGAACGATACTCCCCTATAGATAAAAGAGCCGTCGTCAATCAATGACGAAATTATCACAAATGCAAATTACAATTGGCCAACATTCCGTCTCCAGAAAGACACACTCAGAAAGGGCGCACTTGTAAATGTGTGACCGAAACAGATGACACAACCATTTGAAGAAAAAAAATGTGTTGATGGATTTCGTACAAAAATGGGGAACTCATAGCTTAAATATTGCATGTGCACGTGTTCTGTCATGTCTGTATACAGATGCACGTGGTATCAATAAAATAAATCTTTCTTCATGGTCAGAATAATTAATTTTCCAGGGGATTTGGTACATATTATCATGATAAATATTCATTAGGGTGAACGGGCTAGGGGGCTACTGCGAAGGTAAAGCGATAAGGGGACGCGTAGTCACGTGACTGAGTTTCAGGCATGCAACTGGGAAATCACAAAAAAAAGAGGAAATTCAAATTTTTCCCAGACTTTGTACAGTGTTTTTCTATTTTCAATGGCACACATGGGAAGTAAAAAAAAGAGGAAATCAGCTGATCCGAGGAAAAGGTGCATGTCTGGAGTTCGAAAACTTCATCTTGTTCGGCAAGCGCGCACATGGTTGCCAGTGGCGTATCCAGCGGGGGCACTTTGGGGCACTTTGCCCCCCTGGCGGATTATTTTTGACATTTTTTTGTCAATTTTGACAATTTTTTTAGTCAGCAATGATTGAAATAAATGTTTATAGAGTTCTTCTGACATCAATCCCACCTAAGAAAACCCGCTCAAAAACCAGTACAATGCGCCGTGATAATGTCCATATAATATGTAGTATGCATAATAATGGTCAGTTTTGAAGAGCGCCCAGATTTGGAAGATGGGTACCAGCCCCCCCCCCCCCAACCCCGCTTTTTGATTTTACGGAGGGCAAGTGTCCGGAGAAAAAAAATGTCTACATTTCGGCGCGGATTTGCAGTTGCCCCCCCCCCCCCGCCCCCCGCCCCCTGACATCAAAAGCTGGATACGCTGCTGATCGTTGCACTGAGCATGCGTTGTGCTTCCAACACATCACATGTCCAGTGACGTATATGTGCACGTCCTGAATTAGTGAATAGTTTATGACCAATAATTCTGGTTTAAGTACATGAAATAAAGCTGTTTTTTACCTGGCATAGTGTCGACGATAGCCTCGGGGGTCAGACACACGCCCCTCGTGTACTCGGGAAGATGTTGACATGACAGGTACTCGGGCCAGGTCACGTTGTACTTGAGCATGGTGGGTTCGCACCTCTGCCGGGCCTCCACGCACACCCCCTTGCAAGGCGGGATGGACTCCACCTCAAACTCCAGGCTCTTGGTGCAGATTGGCGCGTACATGGTGCACAGGAAGAACAGCAGCAACTCGCTGCAGTTGGTATTGACCAGGTCCTGGAACTGTTCGATGGACAGGCGGGCGTTCTCCTGGGCGCTGTGGTGCAGTAGGTTAGGCATCTGGGTCATGTTGTACTTCATTCCGGAGCACATGGGCAGCTGGATGGCTTCGCAGCCCGCAGCCTCCGCCACTGTGGAGCAGTGACCGACGAGCGCGATCAACAGAACGACCAGGCCAAGACCCACACTCGCCATGATGGTTGGTGAAAGTAGAATCCAAATAAATCCCCGTAGCTTACAGAGGAGGAATCGCAAGATGCTAAACTGAAGTCCGCACACCCTCGATCAATGCATTTAACAACTCCAGACTAATAAATGTTCCAGTACGTGGTTTTCAGTTGCTTAGCCGTATGGTCCAAACTCGTGCTAGAATTGAGAGGTTCAAATTCAAGGAGCAGTGATGGCACATGAAGCAGATCAGGCGACATGAACAGGAAACAGTTCAGTATATCTTGAAGAAGGGTAACGCTGAACTACTCAGTTCTTTACCAATGCATTTGATGGATATTCCTATCATTCCTATCACATGTACAGGATATGGAGAAATGTCCTACATGTCGTCTACGTGTTCCTTCCACGTCTTGTCCCAGACAGGCTTTAGCCGGGGCGTCAGTTTAGCCCCATTCCTATCACAGCTTGACTTATCGGAAGCCGCACTTGGAGCCGTCTGTTTCCATTGAGCAAAACCATCGAGATGTTTCTCCCCAGCAATAAGATGGAAGAGCGAAGGCAAAACACACACAGACCACGTGACTAAGCACTCCACTTTCCCCTGCGTGTTGTTACCGAGCCCCCACCACATGCGCCACACACAACTCGCGCGAACGGGTTTATCCTCACTGCGTGGCCACCCTCGTCTGTTCGAGCCCAGACGGTGGGGAGGTGTAGGGGGCCCGTCACCATGAATAACACGCGCGGGCTTTGACACCTGCCAATCAAGAGGCTGGCATGTGGCGCCCCGGCGCGATGTGACAGCTTCTGCCTGTCGAGTAATTGTTGGTTGTTTACCCAGCGCGAACTAATCGCCTGCTTATCAGGGACTTGGGTAGACCTTCTCAACTGGGACAATGGCTTGGGTTTATAAGCCGGTGGAGGGACACAGGAGAGTTGTTGGCCGCAGACTAGTTTACAATGGTGCGCTGACCCGTCAATCATGTGGCGCTGCTTCCACCAAGGTTTCTCTACCATTCGCCGCTGTCTTGCCCCGATTGCGCCCGTGTGAAGGCGCTTCAGTTAAACCATAGGCAAGGTATTTTGTTTAAGGAGACAATTCAGTTTCTTCCTCCATGCATGGTACAATACCCTCGGGCTATAGACGTTGCAGGAAAGAAGTAGCGATATATTGTATACCCTGGATTGGACTATTTTACGATGTCGGTGGAATAGTAGGCCTACGGCAGATGGGTATAAGATTGTTCATTATTTTTTTTTTATAAAAAACATGGAATTTGGCACATAGTCGGAGCGTAGAGCAAGGAACGAGCATGGAGGTAGTCGTGAGAAAGTATATGTGGCTGTAGGGCCATCACAGATTATTCCTTTGGAAAAAAATATATAGGTAGAAAAACAAGCAATGGCAGCTAAGTTGAAAATAGCTTGTTATTCTACCTGTAACTTTTTTAAATGGACAAATCTGCGATGGCCCAAGTAGCTAAACATCATTCTTAAGACATACTCTGACTGTGTACCGAATACCATGCTTTTTATCATCAAAGTGAACAATCTCGCAAATACTTATTTCTCCTATCTGCCCTATTATTTCCCATATCCGAATTTTGCAATATCCTCGGGTAAGATATCATAATATAGGGAAGACCCGGGTTTGGACTGTATCTTGTGTGCTAACGTCTGTGTTGTGCCGAATGGGATGTTTTGTCTGCTTTCGTTTCTGCTGGTAACAAATGCATTCTCTTTTTTTGTACGTCGTCTTTCTTGCTGCGCAGAAATACGTGCAATGTTGCTTTACAAATAGTTGCAAACTATTTTGTCTATCATTGGTATTTTCGGGTAAAAATACATTCATTTTTTCTATTATAAAAGTATACTATACAATACATGACGTGCTTCCGTCAGAAGATAAAAAAAAATTGTTGAGGGCGCTATTCATTCTTGGAAAGTACAGACATGACTTTCTTCCTTGCTGTGTATTTGCCGGCAGAAACGCGGAGAAAAAAAACATTTGTTTTTGACCCCCGGAATTCGCTTCGTAAAAGCGCCCTCATTTGTCCAAAAGGATCTTATGAGCTAATACTTTTCGTATCAACCATGGCATGATTTGCCAAGGTTTATTAAAAATTTATCATTATTGGTCCCTGACATTTGTCGACTCAATTGGGCTGAATATTTCCTGTGTGTGTGTGGAATGAACCAAACCCAGCATCCTGAAACGCTATTCGGTCAGTTCTCAGAGCATGATGTTATTCCAATCCCATTACAATGATATAGCGCCACCATTTTGCCATCACGAGTTTTTTTCCGGACACAAGGTGGCGCTATACATCACAAAGTAAAAGTGACCGGTATGGGCATAGACATATATTAAAACCGGGTGACCCAGTATTGGTGAACTCAAGCAAAAAAATTCCCATAGGCACCTGTGTCATTACTCGGTACTCTCCAGTGTTCAGGTTGCATTAAAAAATGTTGATCAACATGTCTTGTCATCTTTTATTTTCGTATACAAGTTTTGGTTGGTTGACCTATGGCTTTTTGGAGAAATTCTCACCTAAAGAAGACGACCCCTAAAACGAGGCGAGTGATAAAGGAGCCATCTTGAAAACGGTCCTTCCAAAAAATGGCTAAATAGCGCACTTTCGGGCCCAATTACATCCAAAATGCTCCGAATTGGAAGCCCAAAGTCCGGGCCAGGCTTGGCTCTCAGAACTCTCTAATATAGAATATGTTGAGGGTATGCTTTTATTCATGAGCTCAGCGGACGGATGTTTGGTCTATTTTCCGGGTTGAACCCCGAGAGCATTACTATTCCAAGCCCATTGTTACAGCATAGAGCAGGCCGTTTTGCCATCTTCGCTCGTACCCCCCGCCCTGCAAACAGGACACTGGGATACTCTGATGAATTCACGCTCTGAATGGTTGGATTTTGCGTGACCAGTGACCTGCGCGTCATCAAGGTCATGACTCTGCAAGGTTTGAAACGGCCGTTTAAGACTGATTCATTACTCTTTTATTCCAGTTTAGAGATGTTTTTCTCTCGTTGAAAAGCGTAATAATGTAGGAAATTCTGTAGAACTTATCTGTGTTGTAAATTTACAATTCCCGTCACTCGCTCAGGCTCCGTGTCGAATCACGAACGGTCTGATTGCATTATGCGATGCTCAAAATTTTTTCCACATGGTCCGCAATGAAACAGAAAACACATCCGGTATGTGCGGAATTCTATGGGAAGTTTTCGGATAGCATTTGCGCACATTGTCTAACTACGGTCTTGAACAGCTGCAGCCAGATTCAAGTATACAAAGGTCATAGGCCATTTCCTTCACAAGATTCTGTGAAGCTCTTCAGAGTATCCCGGCGTCCTGTTTGCAGGGCGGGGGGTACGAGCGAATTTTGCCATCCCACTTTTTTTCCCGGACACAAGGTGGCGCTATACAACACAACGTAAAATAGATCGGTGCCCAGTCTGACTTGGGAAGAGCCTTTGCATTTGTGATGGTTTATAGCTAGTACAGTAAGGGTCGAAGCTCTGAACCGGACCCGAAGTTGCTGTGTTTTGCAATGGATTCTTTAACCAATAGATAGGAAGTGTGAGTAAAAGTACGCTGCGCGTTGCATCCTGGGACTGTGATTCAGCGCAATGATTTCCCACAATGCAGCGTAACATATCACGGTAAGGTCTATGGAGTGGAGGTATTTTTTTTCAAAATGGCGATGGCTTCATGACTAGCTTTTGGGGTGGTTAAAGTGGCAAACATCATTCAGATGCTATTGATCCCTCTACCGCTCAAACAATGTAAGTAGGTAAATAAAGGTTTTATTTGTCAACACGGGATGCCCATAGTTATGAAGAGAGGGTATTTATCCGTGGTATTTACATGTATGACAATTTATTTACAGTATCCACTCCGTTCACAAGTACCCCCTCACCGGCAAAGAAAGTACAGTTGGGGGTGACCGACCGACGCCATCTTGCCTGACTTCAAGTTTGCCGCAACGCGCGGCCGTACCACTGCGTATACATAGTACAAATCCCCTGGTGTACGTGCGTCTCACACAAGGAATGGTGCGCGTCAACCAGCGAAATGTCCCGCTCATGGGACGTCGTTGCTAGATAAAAGGGCGCCCTCTTTCGTTGGCGCACGGAGCCCATGCACCCAACAATGTTTCTTTTTGGCAACGATTATATAGCAATTTACAAACAAGTTGAATTTTTCTTTTTCCCATTCAAACAATACATTTTGTCAACCAATTTTCCATTAAGGCCTTTATTTGGCAACTTAAGTCCAATAGATTCACATAAAATATTAATTACAAATGTATGAAATGTATGTAATTCTATCGAGATAAAATGAACACAATCTTTACACCATACACTTTCTTATGAATGAATTTAATCCTAATTCTATTGGAAGGCAAAAGTGCAAACACTGCTATTAAAGGGAACATGCAGTGAAAATGCAGCTCATCTTGTTTTCATGCACGTATGTGTTGCAACGAAATCTCAATACTTGTTTTCATCGGAAGTGACTAGGAAGTGATATGTTTTCAATTGTTAGCAAATCCTTTCATCAATACATGTAAGAGGGCGCTATTTTGCTTTTGTCACGCAAGGTTCTCCTTGTCAAAAGTGCATATGAACAGTACAAAAAAATTAGTCTTTCAAAATTACCCACAAAAAAGTTGTTAAACTAGTAGTGGCTACTGCTATTGTCCAAACAAGCTGTTTAACATGATAAGCAAGTAAAAGGTGGAACTTGCTCTAAGAAAATGAAGAAAAATGTGATATTTATTTGTACACAAAGCTATAGAGACATTACTGTTCTGCCTTGAATGACATCACGCTTTGGCTCATGAATATGGACATTTTCATTAGCATAAAAAGTAAAATTTTGAAATTTCTCCCTTTTACTGCTACAAAGGAGGTGGAAAGTCATAGTAACATGGCAAGAAAGCTGTTTTAAATGTATTTAAGTCATAAAAATCCTATTGCATGTTCCCTTTAAACTATGCATTTGTAGCTATTTCTGTGTCTACATCCCGCGTAACGTTATAACTATAAATCGAACATGACACAGCCAAGCGCTGCCATCGTTAATTGGTTCCCCCCCCCCAAATGAAAAAGGTTAAATCAAGTTTTTATTTGATGTAATGATGTGGTGTCCCGATTTTCGAAGAGAGGATATTTCTCGTTAGTATGACAATTTATTTACTGATATGCGACCTTCAACTGTTTTCTTCCGGCCGGCATTAAAAGAATAACACACAAGTTCAAATTATTCTTTGTTTTTTCTCCATGACAGAATTTATTTGTCAATTACTTATTTCAGGCAAGTCCAAATGATTCGCATAAAATATCAATTACATGTACATAGGTATCAAATCCCTTGTTTCCATCAGGATAAAAATCAAACATTGTTTCAATACTGTTCATTATACGTAAAGTGAACTCATACTTAATTGAAAGACAAACTTTCACAAAATACACACATTGCAAACTGGCAATTGTTGTGCTTACAGAAAATTATTTTCGTTTCAAATTATTAACTGTTTCTTTGATTGTTTTGATTGTCAACAGTATGTTGTCAAAATTCTGAACAATAACTACAAAAAAATGCAAATCATTTTTTTATTAGTGAGTGTCCAAAAATTGAAATGTTTTTCTTGATATTAGGCTTAGTGTCTTAGAAACTACAGGCAGCTAAAATCTTCACTTTAGAAAAAGTTGGCTTTTATTTCAACTATCACCAATAAGGTGTCTTTAATAAGGCTGAGGGCTTTTGGCAAAATAATGCAATTTCGAATATT